ATTCCACCATTCTTACTTCTAAGGAAATTGTCCTTAGGTCTGCCCCTTGTGTTTTCTTGGGTTATTCTTTAACTCAAAAGGGTCATTTCTTTATAATCTCTCTCATTGTATTACTGTAACCAAGGTGTCATTTTCCATGAAAACATTTTCCCTTTTACCTAGTCCACATCTTCTTAGCCCCCTTTCTTCCTGACAATTATTCCTTGGTTATTTTTGTCCAGTTCTTTTCTTTTGGGATGAATTATCTTCTATCTAGACTACAGATCCTATTATTTCCCTTCACCAAATCAACATCTTCAATACCTATATTATCCTCTTCATCAAATCAGCCTTTTTCTACACCTCTTATTAGAAAATCCACCGCATTCTAAACCTCATATTTGGACTCAGATTTTGTTGTCCTTTTCTTCCAATCCTCTTTAGCTTGCTCTACCCTTTAACCTATTCTAATTTTGCTTCATACGACCAACTTCTTCTCCTTATAAGGCTTACTTATCCCACCTACTTTATTTGAACCTAAGGCTTTTCTCAAGCCTCTAAGGACCCTAACTGGGTGGCTACTATGCAGAAGGAATCACGCCCTAGAACAAATAATACATGGTCTTTGGTCCTTTACCTTTTGGTAAATCTCCAATTGGTTTTAGGTGGGTGTATAAGAAATATAATCTAATGGTTCTTTGGAAAGATAAAGGCTCACCTAGTGGCAAAGGGTATACTCAGTAAGCTAGTGTTGATTTTGACAAGACTTTCTCTTGTTATCAAGATGGTTACTGTTAGATCAATCTTGACTTTAACCTCTATGCATTCTTGGCCTCTTTACCACATGGATGTGGATAACGCTTTTCTCCAGGTGATTTACAAGAGGAGATTTATATGACTTTACCTCAAGGTTTTACAAGGAGGAGGCAGAATCTGGTTGTAGGCTTCACAAATTCCTTTATGGTTTGAAGCAAGCTTCAGAGCTTGGAATTATAAGTTACTAGGGTTTCTTGCTGGAGGTTTTAGTCAATCCAAATCTGATTACTCTTTGTTTGTTAGAAACGAGAATTCTCATATTGTGATGATTTTGGTGTATGTGGATGATATTGTATAACCGGAGATAATGTTGATTTGATTCATCAAACTAAACAACTTTGCATTCCAATTTCAAGTTGAAGGATTTGGGTTGTTAAGGTATTTTGGGTGTTGAAGTTGTTAGGTCTTCTAAAAAGATTAGTTTATGCCAAAGAAAATATGCCCTTGAGCTCATTTTGGAGTTGGTTGTCAGGTTCTAACCTTTTATAATTCCAATGGATGCAAATTTAAAGTCACCTCTTCTGCATATGATGAATTGTTTTATCCTAGTATTGATTATCTTTCTCCTGATCCACTATTTATCTAAAAATTGGTTGGAAAGTTATTGTATCTATGCATGACCAGACTAGATTTAAGCTACTCTATAATTTTCAAGTCAGCTTATGCATAACCAAAGCAGACACATTTGGTTGTTGCCTTTAAGGTGATCAAATATATTAAATCAACTCCAGGTTTGGGATTGTTCTTCCCAGCTGATAATCCTATGAAATTGACGCTGCTTATTGTGATTCCATTAGGGATCTGTCTCATGACAAGGAAATCAGTCACAGGTTATTGCATTTTCCTAGGAACCTCTCTCTCTCTTGGAAATCCAGCGCATCAGCAAAAATATCTAAGTCCTCATCTGAGGCAGAATTCGAGCTATGGCATCCACTGTTTGTGAGATAATTTGACTGGTTCAACTATTTAAGAACTTGGTTTCCTAAGGCTTCTTCTTCATGTTCCCCTCCATAGTGATAATCAAGCCGCAAATCATATTGCCCTAATCTAATGTTTCATGAGAGGACCAAGCACATTGATATTGATTGTCATATTGTACGAGGGCGGCTCAAAATTAGTATTATCAAGACTGCATATGTACCTTCTTCAGAACAGTCGACTAATTTGTTAACTAAAGCACTTGGCCATAAACTGCATTCCAAGTTATTGACCAAGTTGGGAGTCCTTGATCTCTATCACCCTCCAACTTCAGGACTGGGGGGTGTGTGGTATTGGCAATATTATATCAGTTCATTTTGCCCTATTGTATAAAGGAACAATCATTTCGGATGTTTATATTAAAAAAAATGAAAAAGGAATAAATGCTCAAGTTACTTTTCTATTAGTTATTTTAACGAGTAAATGACTTTTTCCACCAAACGTTTGCCTTAGTGACACTTTCCCACCGAAAAAGTTTCAAAATACCATTTTCTCACCCAAAGTTAATATTTCGTTAGTATCCAAAGTCGTTTCCGATGGGGAAAATCCTCTTCGTCACCACCATTTAAATCTACAGTCTTTTCACAGAAAACCTCTCTTACTCCGACACCTGATTTTCTGCCGATTGCTAACAATTGTAAAGCTAGAGTTTCTTATTCTTAGCTAAATTATGACTGATTCTGACGGAGAATATTCAATTGATCATCACTATTCGATCCACTAGCCTCCACTCTACGGAAACTCTCTTATCCTTGCTCTTAGTAACTGGCCAAATGCCAGCTGAGAAAGTGAAGTGTATTTTGGGTATTAAGTAAATATAAATTTTGCATGAGGAAGTCGTTTTTGAAACTATTTGGGTGAAAAAAGTGTCATTAAGGCTAATCTTGGGTGGGAAAAGTTGTTTACTCAAACTATGCACACAGTGCTGAGCTTGCCATGCTACACGCATCCCCAACAGGGGCTTTTTAGGTGGCCGTTTCTAGTTCTTTGGTCGCTTTTTCAATCATTTCTAATTTTTTTAATATATATATATATAATCGATGCCTTGGGCTATTAGTGTTGTAGGTGGAGTCTTTGCCTATTTGGTCTTTGATGCCTATTTGGGCATTTTCTTCTGGCTTTTTTGGTTTTATTTCTAATCCAGGATATTTTCCGAGATAGGAAGAGGTTTTTGTGTTAAAACATAGTTTTTTGTATAGGGTTGATAACGAGTTGAGCCGAGCTGAGTTTTTGGCTTAACGATCTCAACTCGTGAAAAGGAAGAAGAATTCGAGCTGAGTCCGAGCCTCTAATTTCCTGACTCGGCTCGACTTGTAAGAGAGAAAAAGATTTCGTACTTGGCTCGCGAGCCAGCTTAACGAGTCGAGCTAGAGCTGGCTCACGAGCCAACAAAAACATTCAAATTTTTTTTTTTTTTAAATTAAGTGCAAATTTCTCTCTCTCATTTATACTCTTTCTCTTTCACTTCTTTCCCCCTCTAATTTATTATTTGATTTGCTTTCTCTTTCTTCTCTTCTTCAACTCACTGCTCACGTTTTTTTTTTTTCTTTCTTTCTTTCCCCCGTTTTCCAGTCTCCACCAATTCTAAAGTTATTCTCTTCCTCTTCTTGTTTGGTACTTATTACTCTTTGCTTCTCTTCTTTTCTCTCAATCTAATGACGCATGTTTCTCCTATTTTCCTTTCTTCTTTCTTTCTTTCTTTCTCCTTGTTTCCCCTACACTCTCCACCAACTTTGATTTCTTTCCTTCTCTCTCTTTGTTTCCCTGCACTCTCCACCAAATTTGATGCCGAAAACTTGCCTAAAATAGTTTGGTTTGGTTTGGTTTTAAGGGAAAGGATTTTAGTCGTGTTTTTAGGGATTTTAACATCGGGGTTTTTTTTGTCATTTTTACAAACTTTTTGTTTTAAAAATTTTATATCCCCTATACTTAATAAAACTGCTAAAACGCCCCTAATAATTTAAGTCTGGCTCGAACTCGGCTCGTGCTCTCTCACGAATCGAGTCGAGCCAACTCGATTCCAGACGAGGCGAGCTGTTAACGAGCTGAGTCGGCTCACGAGCGGCTCGTCTCGTTGAACAGCCCTAGTTTTGTATAAGCTATTTTTTGGGTTTTAACTCAAGAGATTGTCCTAAGGTAGACTGACCCTTTTTATAAGCCTTTTGTATGTTATTTTTCTCTTTTCTAATAAAAGTTTACTTGAAAAAAAAAAAAAATCGTTTTCTCTTATTTTAACATATACTATTATTTCATCTTGGTAGTGTATTCACTGTATTATTAATTTCTAAAAGGGTTTAGAGATTATTGTCTTTTCTTCGACCTTGGTAGGTTGATGTAATTTCGTTGCAGGGATCAAGGAATGTGTCGATTAGTCAGTGCTTTACTTTTCCGTTAAGTGATCAAGTGTTGTGTCAATTGTTTAGAATGTTTCGGTCAATTCTGATTTTTTTAATGTTTATATATATAAAATAAGAAGGCAAAGGGAACAAGCTCTTGAATACACAAATCATTTGTCTGTTTATGACAATAATTTATAAAAATGTTTACTGCATATAGTAAGATGAGTTTTAATTATTATTTAAACGAGCAATTACCAACTTCATGACAAGATAAAACCAAAGAATAAGACAAATAAAAATTAATAATTCACACTTTAGAAAATATTAGATGGAATAAATCAGCCTAGGACCATCATCTTACAGCACATTCTCATTCATCAACCTTCATAAATAATAATAATAATAATAATAATAATAATAAAAGTTTTATATTTTAATAAAAAGAAAATCATATTATAAGAGGATCATCCCAAATCCCATTAAATTATCCAGTAATAATATACTAATTAATTTTCTTTTACAAATGTGACGTGCCAATTTACAATTAGTGAATTTGTAATGGGTCATGTTTATCCAAGGATGAATCTATCCAACCAAATGTGAATTAATAAATTATAAATTACCACATCAATGTTTATGAGACAAAGTTATGAGAAATATTTATCACTTTACCTTTATTCTAAATTATTATGTTACATCACGTTCTCATTCATCAATCCTCAAAAAGAAATCAATAATAGAAGCGCAAATAATACACTTCATAGAAAGTTTTCAATCTGACAAACACGTGAAGTCATAAGAACCGACACTCAAAAACCAAAATATTTTCTTAATTTACATCAAAATTTATTCTTATTATCATCATAATTATGATAATTATCAACTAAATTGACAAATAAATTCAATTATTTACTTGGCAATTTGTCTTTTTTTTTGATGAAATCCTTAATCTCTTTAACGAACAAACCAAACTCAGGCAGCTCGGGAAAAGCATAAAAAGAGTGACAAGCATTAGGAAACTCAACCAAATAAGCTTCTTTTCCACTTTTCTTCAGCCCTTCATAGTACCTCTTTTGCCAATCTTGCAATGGATCGAACCCTCCAACAAAAACAATAGTCGCCGGAAAATTCACGCTGGAAATATCTTCCCCATTCGGCCCGAAAACATTGGCCGCCGGATGGTCCCGATCCGACTCTTCTGGCAAAAACGCCTTCCACATCCAATCAGTCATCTCCATTGACACCAGTGGAGCTCCCTCAAGCCTTATTTCCGATTCAGTCCTCTCTTCTCCGCCAAAATATGGCTGAACCGCTAAAACTCCAATGATTCTTACTTTGTTTAAATTGCTCTTAACAGCTTTGAGAACTACGTGATGAGCTAAGTTGCCTCCTGCACTGTCTCCGGCAATAAAACACTGATTAAGATCAGCGTAGGAAGGGAAGCTTTCAATGGAATTTGTTTCGATAAACTTGAGCACATCGAAGCCATCTTCATATTGAGAGGGATAGCGATGCTCCGGAGCGAGACGGTAGTTGACAGAAACGATAACCGCTGGGAGTTCTTTGGCGAGAGTTTTGCAATAATCGTCGTACGGTTTTGAGTTGGCTGCAAGGAAGACGAAGCCTCCACCGTGAAAGTAGACTATGACGGGGAGCTTTGTGCTGTCGCTGTCGGTGATTGTGGGCGTGTAGAGGCGGAACCAAAGGTTGCGAGAGAGGTCTACTGTGATGTCTGTGGTGGTGACGCCATTGATGGGTTTTTTTGAAGGTGGGGATTTGAAGTCAACGAGGTTGAAGAGACGGCGGCTGACAGTGATGTTGGAGCGGCGAGTGATGTCAACGGCGAAGGTGAGGGTGGAGTAAAATAGGCGGATCTTCCATGGGAGATCTGGTGTAGTTCTTGGTTTCTGGGACATTTTGTTGAAGACTTGAAGCTCTTAGTGAGAGACGGAGACGGTTGATTTCAAGGGAGGTTTTTGAGAAGAGGAGTTTAGTTGATTTGTATTTATTTATTTTCTCAAAAAGTCTTAGTGGCTTCACGCCTTAATTCACGCAAAAAAATTACGAAACTTAAACAAGATGACAATTAATATAAATTTATATGAGATAGTTTACTTACACCAGTTACTTTATGAGATTGTTCAGTAAAAATTGAAATCATGTCATACATATTTGATAAAATCATTCAATGTAATAATTCCATATGTATTTATATGCATAATATACTTTCGCTTTTATCATGATTTATTAATAATACGGATTATCATTTAGGGGTTTGGATATATATAGTTTAACTTAATAATCATACTTCCTCGAAATATATAAAATTTATTTAAAGGACAAATCTAACCGGAAAATTTAGTAAATTATTAACTATACTCTTAATGAAACAACAAATGGTATACTTTTAATATATACTATTAAACTATGTTATAATTGATAGTCTAAAACTGTGTCTATTATTTAATTATATAATTTAACAATCTAATTAAAACATGTTAGATCATGTTAAACTTGGTAGTCTTGTATTTTGGTTACTTTTGTCATTTTTATTTTCATTAAGGGTAATTGAGTTAAGTTATACGATTTTATGATTAAATCTATCATTCAAACAAAACCTTAAAGTTTTAAGAATTTTTAGAATATTAAAGATGATTATTTATAAGAATATTTCTATCATTTATTGTCATGATAATAGGAAAAAAGATATTTGGGTCTTTTTGACACTATAAAGTAAATTTTATTGGAAATTTTAACTATAAGGAAGTAAATTCACTGTTCTAAAAGTTTTAAATTCAAAGTATCACGTTTTAGAACTTGATACATTTTGTCGAATCTTTTTAAGGACTAAATTTTTCAAAAAATTGTTTGAATATTAAAATGGAGAAACCATTTTAGATTAAATATTTGATTCATGTGCACAAGCTTTTATTTACAAATTGATATGATATAATATTAGTATTTTATTATAATTTTTATGTATTTTTGAGAAATCATAAATGATATCACTTTGTTATAATATTAGTATGTTATTATAATTTTTATCTTTTTTAATTACTTATCTTTCAGTATAAATGCAGAATTTAAGAAATATGTAACTACATGCGGATGACTTCAGAACTCAGAAGCTACAGTTCTTTGTAGACAAAAATCTTGAAATCAACCATCCATGAATTCAGACATTGCATAAAATATTTTATTGGGACTAAGACCATGCAGTACGCCTATGGTTAGTAAAATTCAACATAGTCCCTACATTATCCAAATTATCCACAACCTCCCCTGTCGTTAGTTTTTTCCGTAAAAATTATTTTAAGCCATTTTTGACTTGTGGAATGACCAAATCACCCCTGAAAATAAGTTACTACGGAATTAAGAAAAATATCTACAGATAAAAAAAAAAATTTAATTTAACATAAAAATTTCATAAGAAATTACTTAAAATATAAGAAATTTAAAACAATTAAAAAACCCATAAGAAATATTTTAAATTGGTTTTTTTTTCTATTTTTTTTTTAATGATTTTGGCTTCTTTAAGTTATTTAAAGAATTTTAAAGAATCTTTTCTTGAAATTTTTAGGATTTTCTTTTAAATTTAAAAATAAAAACTTATTTTTAAGGATAATAGTGTCATTTTGGTCAAAATCGATCAAAAATAAAAACTAGCGACAGCCGGCAGGTGAGGTAATTGGATGATTTCGAAAACACAGGGACTAACTTTAATTTTCCAAGCCACAGGAATATTGTATGTTTAAATTTATTATCTTAATCATATAATCAAGCAAATCTAATATTAAAATCAAGTTGGCTACGTTAAGATATGTTTAATTATTTTGTATTCATTGTCCTTTTATAATAAACCTGTTACAATTAAAGAGACCAAAACGAAAATCCAAAGCAACCCAACTTTGAATACAGTAGATAAATCACAAACAATAAACAGATAATAAGCTGAAAAGTAAAGGACACAATGATTTATAGTGGTTCGGTAATCTTACAGATTACCTACATCCACTCTCCAGGGCAATAAGCTGATTTTACTATGAGAATAGAGAACCTTACAGAGATTTATGCTTACCCTTAACACAGTGCACAAAACCCCTCTATAATACCCAGATCTCCTCAATCCTCACCTCTCATACACATCATACAATAACCAAATATTAGTGACAGATTTATATAGAAAGTGTAACAGAAAGAATAATCCAACTAAGACCTACCACCACCGTTTGATTCCATCAACGCTCTTCAGATTTCCAGCGCATCCAGAGTTCGTAACAAACTTTCTCTCTCTGTTAACGAAGAAAGAAAGCTCGAGAGAAACAAAATGAGCAAAACCTAATTTGGATTAGGTTTATTGAAGACTAGATATGACAGAATTGCCCCTTAGTCTTTAGCAATATAACTTTGACTACCCAAGTTCTATTTTGACTTCCACGCGGGCATAGGTCAATTGACACATCACAACAAATCTCCACCTTGGCACTTGATCATTGCCCTTCCTTACTGCCCTCGAACTTCTTCTAATTTTCTTCAATGTGTAGAAGGCTCTTAACGAGCCTTAACTTGTCCAAAACAACAGACCTAGTGAACATGTTTGCTGGGTTTTCTCTCCCCAGAACCTTCTCCACTTTAATGGCTTTATCTTCAATCAGATTCCTTATAAAATGCAACCTGACATCAATGTGTTTTGATCTATCATGAAAAACTTGATTTTTGCACAGAAAAATTGCACTTTGGCTATCACTTTTGATTGGAACCTGCTACTGGTTCAAACCCATTTCCTCAAGCATTCCCTTGAGCCACATTTCTTCTTTGACGGCCTCTGTAATGGGAATGTATTCTGCTTCTGTAGTTGACAAAGTAACTATTACCTACAAATTAGCCTTCCAAGAAACCAGATTATTCCAAAAAGAGAAACAGAAACTAGTCATGAATTTCCTATTGTCTACATTTCCTGCATAATCAGCATCCACATATCCTACAATGATATTCCCCTGATTTTGCCCCTTGCTGTAAACAATACCAGTAGTTAGTGTACCCCTCACATACCTAAGCACCCATTTTACAGCTTCCCAATGATTCTTCCCAGGATTACTCATAAACCTACTTATAGAACTAACTGCAAAGGCTAAATCTGGTCTGGTACAAACCATCAAATACATCAAGCTCCCTATTGCATTTGCATAAGGGATGCAAGCCATTTCCTTCCTTTCTTCTTCTGTTTCTGGGCATTGTACTGAACTGAATTTAAAGTGCTATCCTAAGGGTGTTTTGATAGGTTTGGAATTACTCATGTTAAACTTCCTTATGACTTTTCCAACATATTCTTTCTGTGACAAGGTTAGTTTTCCATTTTTTCTATACCTTTCAATATTCATTCCTAGGATCTTCTTAGCTTGCCCTAAGTCTTTCATTTCAAATTGTCTACTCATCTGTTCCTTAAATCTAGCAATTTCAGAAAGATCTTTACAAGCTAAAAGCATATCATCCACATAAAAAGTCAAATAAAGGTAGTACTCACCATACAAACACTTAAAGTAAAAGCAACCATCAAAGCTACTTCGAATAAACCCAGCATTCACCATAAAACAATCAAATTTTCTATACAACTGCCTAGGTGACTACTTTAATCCATACAAAGATTTTTTCAAAAAACAAACTTGGTTTTTAGATCCCTTTTCAAACAACTCAGGCTGTTCCATCATAATTCTTTCTTCTAAATCACCATTCAAGAAGGCAGTTTTGATGTCTAATTGCTCTAATTCTAAATCAAACTGAGCAACTAAGGCTAAGAGAATTCTGATAGTGGTATGTCTCACAACTGGTGAGAAAATTTCATTGTAATCAACTCCTTCAACCTATGTGAAACCTTTAGCTACCAACCTAGATTTAAACCTAGGTACTTTTACCCCTGGTATACCCTCTTTCCTTTTGAAAACCCATTTACACTTAACCACCCTACTGCCCTCAGGTTTGTTAACAAGAATCCAATTCTGATTTTTTATTAGAGAATTATACTCTTCCTACATGGCAAGTTTCCATTCCCTAGAATCTTTACTAAACATGGCTTCCTTAACAGTTCTGGGTTCATCATCAATCTCTTCAGCAACTTGAAGAGCAAATGCTACCATGTCAGCATATGAGTACCTCCTAGGTAGTCTAATTTCCCTTCTTTCGCTATCTCTAGCTAGTTGATAATTTTGTAAGTCATTTCCATCATCATTATCATCTAAGCTCGGTTCATCCTCTTGGGTATGGGAATCTAAAACAGAGTCTGAAACAGGATTGTTCAGATTTGGAATATCTCCACCTAGATCCAGATTAAACACCTCTGTCCTATCTGTATTATCACTCACTTCCTGACTCAAACCACCCAACTCATCCTCATTAAACCTCACATCTCTGCTAATAATACACTTTTTCCCTCCAATATCCCAACATTTGTAACCCTTAATGCCATCAGGATATCCTAAGAAAATGCACCTAATAGCCCTTGGTTGTAACTTATCTGTTTTCTCATGAACAAAAACAGTGCAGCCAAAAACCCTAAGGTTACTATAGTTTGCAGAATACCCATACCATTTTTCCATGGGTGTTTTTAAACTAATAGCTGAGGAAGGCATTCTGTTTATTAAATAAACAGTTGTGTGGGCAACCTCTGCCCAAAACCTGGTGGGTAACTTAGAATAGGATTAGGGTTCTAACCTTTTTTAGAATGATCCTATTCATCCTTTTTGCTAAACCATTCTACTGGGATGTGTGTTTTACTATTCTATGCCTCATAATTCCATTTTCCCTACACAGATTATCAAACTCTTCATTTATGAATTCTAACCCATTATAAGTTTCCTAATTTTCTTCCCAGATTGGTTTTCTATCATGACCTTCCAATCTCTGAATTTCCTAAAGGTCTCTCCCTTAGTTTTCAAGAAAAAAATCCAGACCCTCCTAGA